TTGGACGAAAACTGGGTGCGTGTTAACCTTCCCCCATTTCACGAAATCTTTTCGGTGAAAACGACGTAAACGGTTCCTAAATTTTGATCCAATGTAAAATGTAATCGCTGAACTTTTAATTTATTCAATTTGATCCATCAACTTTAGCCTAATGCATAATGTCTTCCCAGAATTTTTAATTTATTCAGTGCGATAACTTGAAAAGAGTTTAGGGATCACGTTACGTATTGAGCCAAAGTCAATGGACTATTCGTGTGATTATCTCGTATCTTTATAATTATTGCTTTCTGAAAAAGCCTTTTGGAACGTTGGAGAAAATTAAGAAAAGGAAAGTCCTTTTTTTTATTTTATGTGAGTGAGAGAAGCGAAGCCACCACGCGCGACACCCACTTATGTTGTTGGGACTCGGGACTTTGCCTGTGATGTAATAAGTGGGGCCCTGCTCCCACCACGCGCCACGCATGGCCCAATATTGCATTAACAAGATCCCCCCTCTATTTTGTAGATTTAATTTTATTTCGCAATCAAGTAAATTGAATTTCAATTTTACATGAAATTGCAAAAAACCATCTTGAAGTTTATACTTACATGCCAAAAATCATTCTTCGCTCTTAAAAAACTTTGATTTGTATCTTCTTCGAATTGAAAGAATACATCCCGCTCGGTCACACCATGGGCTTTCTCTCTCTCCCAACCCCTCGTAGTGACTGCCGTTGTTGCTCGACGCCGCCTCCGATCCCCGTCGCCCCCAACAACCCACCCTCTCTCTTCTCTCTTGCAGAACTCGCGACTTGCAACCACGAGAAGTCAAGCTTACACAAGCCCCGAGCTTGACTAGGGATGGACTCGCATGAGAAGCGAGCTTAGCCCTGATTTGTAGGTTTTTGTTTGATGAATGGCAGTTTGGAAAGAAAAATGGCAATTTCTGAAAATAAATTGGGTTGTAAGTATGCAAATTGGTATGAAAGTGGAAACCTCGGGATCTGAGTTGTAGGTTTTAAAAGTAAATTGATATAAAATTGTAACAAAATTAAACAGGAGGTGAGGTAAGGACTATAGAATCTCTTCAAGGCAATTAATTCTTGCTAATGAAGCTTTACATATTTATGAACCATGCTTCCCAATATATAACACCTCGAACATGTTTATACAAACAAGACTCAATTGAACTTTTGCTCGGACCGACGCACTTAGAGATTTAACCAAAGAGACAAATTGAAGAGAAGATATTCTTTATATGACTTTGAACAAAGAGATTGAAACAAATTTCTAAGCACGGAAACGTTGTGTATCTTGTGTCAAATGAAGAATAGTTGATTTCAATTTATAGAGTTCGAAAGGACATGATACAAAGAGACGTGTTTTTTTTATTCGGTTAATACCACGAAAAACCCTAAACTGGTACATTTATGACACATTTACCCCAAACTATTTTTTTGACCATAAAAAACCCCAAACTGGTACACCTGTGACAATTTTACCATGAACTATTTTTTTGACCACAAAAAACCCCAAACTGGTACACCTGGGACAATTTTACCCTGAACTTACCAAAAAAAACCCCAAACTGGTATATATGTGACAATTTTAACCTGAATTAAAATTTTAAATTTTTTTTTTCTAATTTTTATTTATTTTTTATTCTTTTCTTTTCTTTTTTTTTTTTTTTCATCTTCAGACCCTGGCCGGTCGACGGTCTAGCGACCGGCCAGAGGCGGAAGCTAGCGAGGGCCGCCCTCGCCGGCGTCGGGCGAGGGCCGCCCTCGCCCACCCAGGGCAAGGGCGACCCTCGCCGTGCTCGGGTGAGGGTGCCCTCGCCGGATCACGGCGAGGGCGACCCTCGCTGCGTCGGGCGAGGGCCGCCCTCGCTAGAATCGGGCGAGGATCGCCCTTGCCCCGGGCGAGAGAGGACGGCCCTTGCCCGACGGGCGAGGGTCGCCTCGCCAGGATCCGGCTCGAGCGAGGGTCGCCCTCGCCAGATCCGGCGTCGGGCGAGGGCCGCCCGATGCCGGCGAGGGCAGCCCTCGCCGGCTTCGGCCTCTGGCCGGTCGCCGGACCGACGACCGGCCAGAGGTTGAAGGTGAAGGAAAAAAAAAGAAAAGAAAAGAAAAGAAAAAATTCAAAAAAATTCAAAAAAATAATATTAAAAATTAGTTCGGGGTAAAATTGTCACATGTGTACCAGTTTATGGTTTTTGTGGTATGTTTGGGGTAAAATTGTCACAGGTGTACCGGTTTAGGGTTTTTTATGGTCAAAAAATAGTTTGAGGTAAATGTGTCACAAATGTACCAGTTTAGGGTTTTTTGTGGTATTAACCCTTTTTTATTTAAAAAATACAAAGAACACCAACGCAAAAAAACTGCATGCAGTTGAGTAGAGCGCCCTACTTTCTGTCATGTCAACGCTGCGGCGCTATATATAGTCAGTTCTCCCGGCTTTGTTTCACAACAACCCCGGCTTTGCAATGTCGTCTCCAAGTGCCGTGGTGCCACGGATTCTGTTTTACTCACTTTTGTTTAGCCATTGATCCATATTTACAACAAAAATTTCGACTGCGAACTCTTCGCATCCTATTTCAATTCTTCATGCATCTTTAGCTCTAACCATTATTGTTTTACACGAGTATTTTACACCTTGAAAAATATGGGAGAAAATTATCAAAATTTATCACACTGAAGTTATCTGAAGTGAACCACTGGGGTTTGTCCCAGTGGCCACCCTTTCTATTTGGGAAAGGAGAGGTGAGGAGTTCGAATTCCCGCATTTTCAAGGGGCTAGGGTGGGGACGTGTAGTTTCAGATGTGGGCTTCGACTCTCACGTTCTGTATGAGATAGAATAAAAGTCCGAAAGTGAATTGAGAATTAGAGTAGGATCGGCAAAAAAAAAAAAAAAGTTATATGAAGTGAAGATCATTCGTCATAATCAAATGACGTAATGTGATACGTGTAGACATAATTGCGAAAAGCCAAAAAAAAATCAGCTAAAAAACTAAAAAAAAAGGAAAAGCAAAATCGACCTACGCGTTACAGTCTGCACAGTGCAACGTTTTCCCGTGTAAAACTGAAACTCGTAGTAACGTGTCTTTTGTTTATAATTTTATTTACTGATTTATTTATTCAATTTCGACCAATTATTTATTTATTTATTTAACAGCCGTTAAGTGTTGCGTAACTCCCCTTCCACGTGGCACGTCGCACAGTCTTCTATGCAACGGTGTTGACGGGTGACCGACCCACCCCCAAGAAGAAACCTATCAAGTACAAATAAATCGAATTTAAAAATATTAAAAAAAATATATTTTTCTAAAACTGATTGCTCATTTCGTTTGAAATAATCCATCGAAAAAGATGTCTTTATTATTAACGACAATTTATCTGTAAATATTTTCGTAAACAATGAAAATATCTTTCGTCTAATTTTTTTAATCATTAAGTTTTTACGTATACTAAACTTTTTGTTTCAACTATAAATACAAAAAAATTGGGACAAAAACCCTCAACTTTAGGTCCGATCCCAATTCTACTCTAGACTCTTTTTTTATTTCTTAAAAAATCACAAACTTTTACTATAATCCCAGATCTGCCCTTGTGTCAAAAAATCACCACCAATTTTTTTAAAAATTATCTCGATCGAGACCAGTTGGAGGTTCCCGCATCTTCACCAACACCCTCGCTTTCGTACGGGATAACAGCAGCCTCCCGACGTTGATAATCTCGAAGGAACCAGCAACGATTCCTGAACGCGGGATAGATTTGGGACTAAAGTAAATATTGCTAATTTTCTGTTAAATAAAAAAAAAATCCTGAATAGAATTGGAGTTGGACCTAGAAAGTCAGGTTTTTTTTTTTTTCCGCAAAAGGAATTATAGGCCCTAAAGCTGACACGCCATCATTTTCACATGTTGATCGAGTTTTTAACATTTTTCCATCGGGGCAATAACTTCAACCCAAGTCTCCACGCAAACGAGCCCACACACACACAAGAGGGGTATTGAAGAGGGCGGTGGTGGTGCGTCATTTTGTGTACCATCTTTCTGCATTTATTGTACTCAAAACGACTCTTCATTGCGATAGTGACCCCCCATTGATGCGTGTGCTGCTTGTGTGCAAGTGCAAAAATTAGGTTTACATTATGTCCGGATCAAGGTCCTTGATCGCACGCTCCAATACATTAGGATAACAATAGCCTTTACTTAGCTGCTTAATGAGCGTCGCGGAAGCTTCCTTGACACCGACGGATTAGTCGGTTTTGGCAAGTCGTGCTCGTTCAATATTTAGGTTTCGACGCGCTGCACTTTGATGCTTGCTCGTTCTCTTGATGCATACCGGAAGCAGGTGCTTTTTATGATCGCGTCATGTAATTGTTCGAGGTTGCGCGCTGGATGATGAAGAGATCAGGAGACGGCCACAAAGACATGGAAAGAGGAAAAAAAAAGAAACGAGCTTATCAAAACTAGTTTACTAAATGTATTTACATCGGACTAAAAGTGGAATCTAAATTAAGTGGGTCAAATTTAATAGGGATAATGACACAAGTAGTCCTTAAAATTTGGCCTAACGTGCAATTTGATCCATGAATTTTAAATTTGTTCAATATAGTCCCTGAACTAAACCCAATATGCAATGTCGTTCCCGAACTATTAATTTGTTCAATGCATTCTCTAGATTGTATGAAAATGTTCAATGTTGCCATTCCATTAATTCAAGTTCAAGGACAACATTGAATATTTTAATACAATTCAGGGACTAAATTGAACGTGTTCCAAACGTCCAAGTACGACATAACACATTTGACTAAAGTTCAGGGACCGCATCGAATAAATTTAAATGGGACTATAAGTTCGAAGACCTTCCATGTCATTTATCCGATTTAATAATCTTTTAAGGCAGTCTAATTAAATCAAGATTTTGATAAAGTCTGTGGTACATCTCCAAAATAACAAGTCAGGCCATTTACGTACTTGCCATTTGAAAAAAGTGGGTGGTAGCTATAAAGAGCCTTCATATTACTCTGCACCACCCTCCTTCTCCCCTTCTTCTCTCCCTTCCTTCTCCTCCTCTGTTCGTTCTCTTGCTCTTTAGCAGCCACCAAACACCGCACGGCCCTCCTCTGCCTCTGGAGTTCTGTAGCTGTTTTCCGTAGGAAGAAGCAGGGACAGGGACAGAGGCAGAGACAGAGAGAGGGAGAGAGATGGGGAATTGCCAGGCCATTGATGCGGCGACGCTGGTGATCCAGCACCCATGTGGGAAGGTGGACAAGCTGTACTGGCCCGTTTGCGCCGGCGAGATCATGAAGATGAACCCCGGTTACTACGTGGCTCTCCTCATCTCCACCGCCTTGTGTCCGCCGCAGCAGCCGCAGCCGCATAACAGCGCCGCTCATGCCAAGGAGAAATGCTCTGCCCCTGCTGCTGCCCCTGCCCCTGCCGCTGCCGCTGCCGCGGCGACCGATAGTAATTCTGTCCGCGTGACCCGCATTAAGCTTCTCCGGCCCACGGATACTCTTGCTCTTGGCCAAGTTTATAGGCTCATCACTGCCAAAGGTTCGAGTCACTGCCTACTCGTACACCCGATTCTTGTACCGGCCTCGTTTTGGTTCCGGAAATTGAGTGCGCCTAGTTGACTCCGTTTTTTCTCTCTCTGTGGCTTCAGCTGAACTGATGCCGAGTGTTTCTGTGTTTTTGTTCTCCTGTTCTGCAGAGGTTATGAAGGTTTTATCGGCTAAGAAGCATGCAAAGATGAGGAAGGGCCAGCATGAGATCAAGGTGGAGCATGAAGAGAAGCTGTCTTCATCTGGGCTGGAGATAATAGCACCAAGAAGATCTGATTCATCTGAAACGAGGAAAGAAAACCAGGTAGAAATTAAAAAAAGAAAAACAATGTCATCCCATTCTTCAGCGGACACATCAAGAAAATCTCCAACAAAAGAAAAGAAGAACCTTTTTCTGATTCCAGTTCAAAGTTTTGTTTTTTTTTTTTCTGGTTGATAACTTCTGGGTAATAACTTGTATGTGCCTGCAAAATTCTGCTTGAAGTAAGCTTTGAGTGAAGTACTACAACTCAAGAAAGTGTTAAATTCGTCCTTTCAGTCTCTTTCTCTTGTCAATGATAATCTGTTGATGTAATTCAGGTGGCGAGACATGAGAGACACAGGCAGAAGACAAGTACAGCATCAAGTAATTCAGCTGCCAACAGGCCAAAAACGTGGCAACCCTCGTTACAGAGCATCTCTGAGGCAGCAAGTTGAAGTTTTCTTCTGGATGTTTGACAGATATGATTGAAGTGTCTTGTGGGTTCTGATAACTCTGCTATATGCACTCAACGGGTCTTTCTTCGAATAGTGGAAATTCAGATGTTTCACAGAGAGAGAGAGAGAGAGAGAGAGAGAGAGTAAGAACTCATCTTGGAAGTGTTGATATTTGCCAAATCTTTGCTTGTATAGAGGGGAAAAAGATGAAGCAATCCCATGTAATCAATTTGCTGCTCTTCTTAATGAAATTTGGGCAGGATTACAATTGACAAAGATTGACTCAGAGCTTGGATGACATTATCTTCTACTGTTCTGTACTTTTTCATTACTCTCCTCAGGAGCCCATTGATTTAAATATTCTGATTCATGTCAGAAAGTGATTTTCTATTTTGGCCTTAACGCAAGAAAGAATGCATAGTTCTTCCATCAGCCACCACCACCACCACCACCAACCACTTTGATGGATGAAAATTATTCAACATTTCTAAAGCTCCATTTCATAATATTTGATGCAGAGAATGCATCTCCAGCACTCCAGACAGGAAATAGTTTGTGAAAAGAAAAAAAAAAGAATACAAATCTAACCCAACTTCCAGTTTGGCTAATCATGCAATATTACACAAACACCAAAGCCAGTAAAATGCAAGAAGCAGAGTGATAGAGGTCTATTCGTCCATTAAAAGTGCACAGTCAATAGTCCTCTCTGACGCCTTCATTTGAACAAAAGATTGAGTTTGAAAGACCACCTACGCTGATGCATCATGTGATAGCTATACCACGTTTTACCGTAATTTGGGTGAAATGATGAAAATAGGGGTAGTGTTTCTGTCGGTTTCATTTATAATTTCCATTTCCAGATGGAGTTCGGGACCAATGGGCATCCAAAGTTTCTTGGAAAAGCCTTTCTCACCTGCCGCCTGAGCATTTGAGATTGACCCCCTATACCTTGACCCTAGGGAGAGGGAATAATAGTGATTATTGCTGACCCTTCTTTTGTAGCTTCATAATTGAATTGAATATTACCCTTGCCTCTGGGGCCATTGTTCCCAACTCCATCATGCTCTAAATCACCAAATGTGCAGGAATTTTATTCTCTATACAAGGAATTAGGTGAGCAATGTAATCTGAAGCACCAAACAAGCCTCTTGAAAAAAACAAAACCATGTTTTAGAACTCTCAGCAAGCTCAAAAGGGACGATGGGTCATGCTTTTTTGCACTTGAATCAAGTCATGCGTTGCTTCCAACTTGCTAGCATGACTTGTGTGATGGTGCTGAAAAAAAGGGGTTACTGGCTGGTTGTCCCTTTGTATCCTCCTTTCTCCTTCATAACCTACAAGACTTCCAAAAGTAAAAGTTGAAGGCAGAAACAAGGTTATTTGCGAGGAACAAAGCGCATTTGTCACATGAAATATCACACTGTCCCAAGCAACATGATTAGAGTCAAATGTTCCCATGGCCAACGTAAGGAGGAAGAAATCATTTGACCCCTCCATGCTCTTTGTGGGCATGGAAAGAGAGCGGCCACCTTAAAATATAGTTCCTTTTAATCATGGTTCAAGCCCTTTTTTGACTCCAGGACAGCCATCGGATGACTGCTAATTATATTTGGCATGCCTGTGGTGGCAGAATACATTGCTTCCCACCAATTAAAAGACCTGTAATGCCTCATCTTTTGTTAAAGCACACTCATGGAAGGCAGACTAATTTTACTGAAGACTGAAAAAAGAATTCCTTTTCCCCCCTTTTTTCGAAAGAAGAACATGGGTTAATTAGTTTTTTTGCCTTTTCACCAAATAAAGATATTCTTTTAAGGATGGAAAAAAGAAGAAGAGAATCCCTTCACTTCAGTGCCTTTTCAGTGAACAAAAAGGAATTATGGAGTTTATTAATGGGAGCTCTTGAATAGGCCAACCACAGCCAACTCACCTTTCAAAAAACACTTGGGCAGAAAAGAAAAATGAGAATTTAAGAGCATCACAAAACGTGGATCATAAAGAGTTCCAGATTCAGATATCTTTCAAAGTGGGCCTTTAACCGCTGGCATTTTGCACCAACTTTTGTGTCATATATCCTGTAAAACTTTGTCTCCACTCTGATCAATCATTGAGAAATACAAATCAAAGCTGATAAAATGGGAAAGGGGCATATATACTTTGCTGTACTTTGATGGAGCTGGATGTGGTGTACATGTTCTCACTTGTCAGGATCTCTCTCAGAAATTATTGTGGGAGATGATTCCTAATTTTGTTGACAAAGCAGTTGAATAACTTATGATTCTTGTTAGCTTTGAGTATGAATACAATTTGGGTCGAACTGACCCCTTCAAAAACTTGCTTCAGAGATCATCACTTTCATTGAAAGTAACTGCACCGCGACCCACTTGCCATCCTTGCATTAAAATTATGAAAGAATAAGCAACTACCTAAAGTTATTGCAGCCCAGCAAATGTACTTGCAGATACACAAAGACCAATAGTCTCTGAAGACACTTGCTTTCTTTGAAAGTAATTGGCTTTGAGTTATAGCATCAGCAGGATACAACCTCCAAATTACACCTTCAAGATCACCAATTTTCTTCTTTCGCCATTGTTATATACAAGTAAAAACATCAAAACTTGGGTGATTGAGACAGTTTAACACACAAATAGACTCCTTTCTTATCACTTGGCGACTAAAAACTGATGAATAGCAAGCTCTGATAAAGGAGGGAGGATCTATGCGAGATGTGTCTAAGGAGGAAGTTGATAGATTTATTTGAGTCAAAGAAGAATCGATGCCAAATTAGCAGTTGAAGGTGACATGATGCCGTCGGAGGCAGGGAACTGACAGCGACGGAACAGCCAGAAATGGTACCAAGATGAAATCAAGAGATTTTGGAGTGCAATAGAAGCCATGTTAGTGAGGGTGGAGAACGATATGCATAAACTGGGTTGATTTTATTATTCCTCCCCCGCGATTGCCCACCTATTGTCCTCTCATTTGCTGCTCCAACTTATCAGGAGATGACTCACTCCAACTCTCTCTAAGTCTCATTTCTTAGACAGGGAAGAAAAAGTTATTCCTCTACGCATAATTCAACATACTCTCAATTCTATGACCCGAGTTGAGAGACAGAATCTTACTAGGAGAAGAACAAATTCTCTTTGGCTAGAATTCAGGAAGGTGATTTTGAAAGGTGGTGGTGGAAGGATGGGAGTGATCTATGCCGAGCAGCCGAGCTTGTGGGGCGGCACAGCACCCACAGTTCGCTATCGACCTGACCTGACCTGCTTTATGGGAGCTGAATCTACTCTGTATATGACTGGAGGCTATTTAATATGTTGCGGAGTGCTGAAATGTGTGGAATGGATTCATCACAAACAAACTATGTGTCAAATACCTTTCTTCTATAAGGAAAAAGTAAACATCAGTGAAGCTGCTTCATTTGTGTGCTCTTTTTCGTTTTTCCTTCGTTACCATGAGACAATCACAGTATGGTAACTGAATTTGCTCCTTAATCCTGCCTGGGTCTTGTCGACATTCCTAGAATAACTGGATTATCTGGGAACAAGGCAATCAATTCATCCTCAAAAGACATTTGTTTTATGCACTGTCGCCAGAGAATAGCAATCCAAGTTGACGTATGGCTACATAAGGGATACGAATTTTGCAAGCTGACATGTGGTTGAACACATGTGAAGGCATTCATTATGAATGCACATAGCATACGAATGAAACAAAGGAAGAAGTTGCTATCAGATTTATGGGAGGGACGAAAAGCGAGAAGGTATTGACAAAGTCGATTTACAGTGGGAATGTGCGAGTTTAATTTCCAAATGCTTGGCAAGCACTACACCAGAGTGAAGGAAAGGGAGTTTGCAAATAAAGGGATGACTCAAACGTATGGAGAATATTGGAAAAGAAAAACAAGAAATAGACAACTATCTTGAGTACAAGGATATGTCTCCATTCTTTCCGATTTCGACGTAAAACCCACAAAACAAAATCACACAAATTTTTGTTTTACTGTTTTCACTCGAGAAACTGAGCAGCAAGTCTCCAGTAGTTATCCATTCAGATTGCATACTCGAAAATTACAATGAACGTAGTTATCTCCATAGAATAGAAAAATCAACACTAAACTTTTTGTATACCTTAGAACCGAATCCGCATCTTGTTGATAATCCATGATTTTTGTCAAAGGAGACTGATAACTACATTGACTTGACCATCAAAATATGACCACTCTGCCCCTAAATACTCTTTAAGCTGTTCGTCATGGCTGCCGAGCTGACTGAAGTTTCCTTTCTGCTTGAATAGCTGATTGTGGTGGTGACTGCAGTAGAGACGGTGCTCGTGGGCTACAAAGTTTGATGGACTGATTATGCAACCGCCGTGAGTACACCTGAAGCAGGTTTTGTGATATGATGTGCCATCAACAACCACCTGGCAAAGCAGCAGTCAGTTCATGAACACTACTAAGGTTGATAAACTGTTAGGTTAAATTCAGTGTTTGTGGACACACGAACAGAGAGATAACTACTTATTAGTAACATCTAGAGAAGGTAGTCTTATCAAATGTTGAGCTTTTTTCCGATTCTAAATTAAATTTACACAAGATATGACAATATATCAGATTAGTGCAGTAAACGCATATCGATGAGTAGGCCTTGCCAATCTTTTCAATAACAAGAGGAATATTGAAATTGCAAGGCTCAAAGACTTGGCATGTCATAGATTGAAACTACATCGAGAAAGATTATGTGGGCAGGAAGAGCTCACCATAGATTTCTCCTAGATTTACCTTTTCAATGGGATAAACAGTCTTCTTGCAAGCAACACACTTGTCTTAAGTTCCAGCAAACATACTCGAAACTTTGGCATAACTGTGGCCCTGAACAAGTCCAGACATTATTGGAAGCAACTTGTAGTGATACTACGGACATCTAACTGTGACTAACATTTCAGAAACATATTGAACAAAGAAAGTAAGTGGAAAATTGAAGCTTGGGGGGTACCTGATCAGCAGATCTATTGACAGTTTTTGGAGTGCCTATGGAAGAACAATCTATCTATCTATAAGCATAAACGGGGCTATAGCAGCAGAGATACATGAATAAGTGAGAACAAAAGCCATCTTTGCGCATTACCTTCAAAACTTTTATCCAAGCTCCCAGTCATCTTAAAGAGCTGATCGAAAGGCGGCTTGCAATATAATATAGTTACTCAACTGCAGAATGCAGAAGAATAAGAGAGTTATAGAGATGTCTCGCCAGCAACAAAATGCCTTCATTGGAGACAAAGCACACACATAACGTCCTACAGATGGGGTGATAGTTGTCACACTGAAACTTCAATTATCCGTATATGGAGACCCTAAATAATATAACAAGGCAAAGGGATCACCTTTCAGTACCGTGCATGCACTGGCAAACACTGAACATTTCAAACCCATACAATAGACCAAATCGCATGAAAGAGTCTCATTAATATGTGAAAGGCGAACAAGCAAGACCGTCATTTTCGTCATAATCAACATACACGAAAACTGTAACTCGAAGGGGTTGCTCGAGTACTCCACTGATTACCTAGCATGTGTCAGTACAGAGGGACTGCCAGACTCAAGTTGGATTAGGTGCTTGAAGAGTATTGAGACCTCATTGCCAACACCGCCCCTCCTCTCCCCCACAAAAAAAAAAGACACAGAAGAAACGGTACGACATTGAATTCGTCTCCCTCCCGCTGTCCTTGACCAGACTACACCGGACTAAAACTTCTCTCTCAAGTCCTCAATCTTAATAAGGGAGATCACATCAAATACTATAATATATAGATGAATGATTCTGCTTTTCATCTCTTAGTTGTTTGAGGCAAATGGACTTAGCCTCAGAGCGGCAGCGTCATTAGTAGTCACGGATGATGCCAAATCGACCCGTCATAATGCCTTCTCGTCTTATATGCTATCGCCAATTTTAAACACTACCCACATGATGGATCCAGATTCGATCAAAAGAAGCTATCTGGTTTTGACTACCCCCTGAAAAAAGATACCGTCCACCTTCTATCCAATCAATAATTTGCGACAGCAGACTAGAGTACTTTCAATTTGTTTTTAAGGTGGTGTAGATGGAGAACAAGGTACTCATGCATATGGACAAGCAAGATTTCTAGGAACCAATAAATGCCACCAAAGAGTTAACCATGGATGATGTTCGACATAACTTCCATGTATTAAATAATCGTGAAAAAACGAGCATTAACAATGCCAAAGACTAGATTAAGCAGATCCACATAACCGTATTGACAGAATAGAATGAAGAAGGGAGCTGAAGAAACAGCTTTTCCAGCAATGAAAGAACTTCATATTCACAAACAAGAACACTCATGAAGAGCGTAACACTACAAAAGCAATAAAAGCAAAGACAGCGAGAGAGACCTTGAGAGTGCCCTTGCAATGGTGGCATCTGAATCAGGCCTTGTGGAAGACCTTGTTATCAGCAGTGAGCTGATCAACCAGATGCACAGTCTTGTCACAGGCCTTGCACGCTTCTGTGTCGTCCCTGCAAATGTTGTTGCCATTTCCGATCACCACTCTCATCGGCTCTCCTCTGAATGAAGTAAACTCTCAAATAAAACCAAAAAAGACAATCAAGAAACCAGATAAGACCCTTTTCTTGGTGACTTTCAGTGCTCCTCTCTATCTATCTAGACTTAAAGAAACACCAGTGGCAGAGACAAACAGGCCACGGGTCATTGTTCTTTAGACTTTCTGACAAATAAAAGCAAGAAGAAAGAATGAATGATATCGTCCATGATAGACGTTGATTGTCCATACTAGTGGTCATTCTAGTAAAATTTCAAATGGGGAAATGCAGATGATGATTAGTGGACTGAAATCTACAGAAATGCCTTCGTTCGACGGACTTCTCCCGTGGCCTTGCATTGAGGAGAGCTTCTATCTCCCTAGTAAATTGATCCCCGTCGTAATTCTCCGTTGTAATCACATGTATCTTACTATAACTTCCATGTAAACTGATGACACAGAGAAATTTAACGAAAATTTATCATTAGCGGGTGAATTTTAACATTTTCACGTGCAACATTCAAACTTATTGTATATTAACAAGTCCCAAGTAACTTGGAGTGCCAATGCCGTCCGGCCAATCTTTGTCTCATCTACACGCACAACAACATTCGAACTTGTTGGATTCCAAAGTGTCATTGAAACGCTTAACGAATAATCAAATGCAAAAGACATTGCAATTCTCAGTGGATTGTCCCCCTTGATATGCAACATCAATATTTCGAACCTCAAATATTTCTCTTACAATTGTCTTAAGGGAATTAGTTAGCAATGGATATAGGCTTCATTGGCTGGACGATAGTCCATGACACTTGAAAACAGAAAATGGGAAGTGGAGAGGCGAAGGGCATGTGATTCGGAGTAGATTATGTTGTTGTGTCTTTGTAATTGATTCTCTTTGTCTTTGGGTCTTTGTTCTCATGCTTCCCTCGGCTGGATTATTCCTCCTTCTCTGGACAGCTAATACTTGGAGTGCATGCACGATGCGCAGCTCGCTCCCCACTCCTGAACATCTATCTGCCATTTCAAACATTGAAAAGAAAAAGCTCGTGAAACATCGGTAGCAGCTCTTTGTTTTTTTTTCTTTTTTCAAAACAAAATCATTTCATTTCATCAAGATGAGCTTCAGCACATACAAGGTTCCAAAGGGTTTCGGGAGGGTTAAATACCCAATTGTAAGGCAAAGATTTGCACGTTTGAGTCTTAGCAATCTTGTCTGCCACCTGAAATAACCAAATTTTTCGAAAGTTCGACATCTCCTAATAAATGTTTTGGGAGCACTCACTCACGTGATTCGCGTATTCAGGAAAATGACGCAAACAGTCCATGAAGTTTGATCCGATATACAATGTCATTCTCGGACTTTGGTTTTATTCGATATGGTCCTTAAACTATTCCTAAATATTCAATATAGTCCTTCGACTTTCCATAACAAAGTCAAATCAGCCCTTCGGTACTATTAACGAGTTTTCATAACTACACTGTTGCCCAGATTTTAGACTATTTTTTTCATCTCAAACCAATTCCTAAATGAACAAAATAAGATATTTCGTCTTTTTATTACCTTTTCACCTTCTTGGTCTTTGTAAGTACTTTTAACTTATAGCCTCTATAGTAGTAAAAGTATGACCTCATTTAAAGTTATATCGGATTTATATTCCTTTATTTTAAAGATAAGTGTTTTTATTTAATAACAATATGAATATCTCTACAGATTTCTTGTACTTATATTAATTTAAATCTTATTCCCAATTTTTTATGTAGATAAAATTTTCAAGTTTTCATGCTCCGTGTTTCATTTATTTAAATTTAGTAAAATTTGCATATTAGGAAATTAAAATAGCATGCATCAACTCAATACAACTCGAAATGGGCATCTAGTTTTTAATATTACAGAGATCATTAGATAAAAATTTATAAAGACAACAAAAATTAATAGACAAATGGCTGTATTTGTTGATTTAAAAAATGGATCGAAATGAGGATGTTCTAAAATCCCAATGGCAGTGTAATTATGGAAAATTTTGACTTATTCATGAAAGTCGAAGGATTATATTGAATAAATGGAAGGTTTAGAGACTGGATTGAGTGTTTAGAAACAGTTCAAAGACAACATTGGACGGATTAAAGGGCCGAGGAGTGAGGACGGCATTACTCATTGTACCAAAATTTAGGGACTATCCATATCTTTTTTCTGCGTATTTATGATTAATCACTGCTCCAATTGTGTCCGAGTTTTCGCATTCTTGTGCTGTGTCAAAAGAGAATCTGTGAAAAGGAGTTCGACCAGACCCAAATTGAAAGGAAAAAAGCTTCTTTTTAGGAGATGTGGATGGTAAAATGGGTCGCACTCGCGAGACAAATGAATCACAGAGTCATGTACCAATTGTGCTCCCTCGCCATTGGCCATCCGAAGAGCCTTTTGTCTCGCATACCAAGCTAAGTCAGGCAATTTAACCTTTTCTGGTCCGACAGATGAAATGTGCTCCATCCAATTAAAAGAGAAATGGAAACGGAGATACAAAACTTCAAACTGAGGAGCATTTTCTGTCCTGCTTATTGGCCACTGTTCTCCCAAACTAAGGCTAAACAAACATACAGAAGTTCAGGAAAACTAAGCACTTTCACCAGAGGCACTCCCCTGATTTCGAGCTTCTTCTCGCATCACCGCTTTTACATAGATCTCATAGCAACATCCTGAAACATAATGCAGCATGAAATGCATCAGAGCTGTAACATTACACAAAGAAAATAGAACTCTATTTACTCTGCATACATGAATTTTTATTTTCCATTTAAAATAGAGCCAAAATTGACAATCTAACATGTAAAGATGCAAATGAGTCGATATCAGTAGCATTTTAACACTAGAAAATGCATCACGATGAAAAACTAAAGTACTACCAAATTGCAAAACAAGCAACTTTATCATTTGAAATTGGAACACAAAGATACGAAATGTGGCAATGAGCAAGGAAACAAACTTGAAGTAATACCTCACACATTGATTTATCAATTGCAGCACGTTTCAAGAAAAAGAATGATTTGAGAGAGTTTTAATCAGAGACCCGGATTTGGAGTAAACAAAGCTTTCGAAAGGAAGGGGTTTCGAATCTGTGATCAATTGTCCACATCCTCAACCCCCATTAACTAAGCCGGTTACCCAGTCTCAGAGGCATTGTTATGATTCTAGGGACTATGGGTCAAACTACTCAAAGAAACATAAGTACCATAGTAAAACCATGCTTGTCTCAACATGCTATTCAGCCTCTGAGTATGTTAATCAAAAGACAATCAAAACACGATAATCATAAGCTTCATCTAAGCACTGGGTCGGCATAATTGCCCTAAAAAAGGTGATATAACCAATTGGGAAGTAGAAGGTGTCGGTGCCAATCAATGGTGATGCTTCAAAAAACACTCAGACAAATTTGCATTAACACATGCTAATATCGGTGAAGTTGCGAAGTATTAGTCTGTATGTTGGAATTCATAGAAGACCATCCAAGTACAACTTAGTCAACACACAACAAAAGCAAAAGTCAGCATTTTTCCAAGGAAATTGTTGCAGAGGAAAGATCAACTATGCTGAGAAAAGTACTCCACGGTAGAGTACCACTTCCAATTTGAGATGATTGTGCTAAAGATGTACAGTTAAGGTCCCTCTTTGAAAAGCAAAGACATCCTAGGAATCAGTTAAAAAGTTCGAACTATCCCAATTTGTCAAAGGTAATAATGTAAAATGCTAAGATCAAGCACAGATGACAGTATCAAGAAGACTGTTCAATCCACATCATAGCAACTAAAAGCATACCAGCAACGACAACGACTGTGAGGACATCTCCAATTCTTTTCAACCGCTTTACACCCTTCTTATGTGACTTGAAACGGCTTAGGATCGGATCTGGTGCCAGAAGCTGCAATTCACAGTCGTACAAATTAGGAAACTCCATAATCAAAAGAACAATAAACAAGAGCGATTGAGCGCATGCTCTAGCCGGTTGACTGGAAAAGGGTATGCATCATAGAACCGACAAATTATCCGTTGGAAAGCCATTTGTAGATTTTCAAATCTGAATCATACTTGTTGCAACCCCCAACCCAACACCAAGAATATGGCGACATTCGAGACAGGATACAAAGATCAGAAAAATCTCAAAGCTATGCGAATCTCACGAAGGAAAATGTGCAAAAAAGTACCCCATAAAAACCGAGAACAGAACCATGGCAAGCATGAACGTGAACAGTCTTAGCAATTCATTTCATTCATCGGGCCGAAAAAAGCTAACCTAGGCCTTCCGCCAACCTCCCAGAAGACTAATCGACCAATCCGAGCTACCAAAAAAATGTCAGCAATCATCTAATCATCTTTTCTCGAATCCCGCAATCAAATCATGCGCAAACTCGAGAAATCAAGACCGAAACGAGCCTCTTGGAAAGCCCCAAGAAAAGAGAGCAGAGAATCTCACAGCTTTCTCGCGAGCCCCCGGGTCGACGTGCAATCCGCGACGCGACAGCAGCGCGAGAGCATCCTCCGTCCTCTGAAACAAAGAGAGAGCAGAGAGAATCATCAAACAAACGCCGACAAGATTGCGCGACGGAACCGAGCGCCGATCGAACGACAGCAAAGGACAAGGAACCGAAAGCCACGGGACGCGCACGCGTAGCGATGAAGAAGAAGAAGCAGCAGCTCGATCGGGGGAGCTCACCTGAGGGTGGGATCGGAGATGGGAGAGGACGGGGTTGGTCCTGCTGAGCAACAACGCCATTGAAGATCGCTCCGAAATGCAGAAAACTCCAACCCTGCGAGCTCAAGACGAACGAGAAGAAGAAGAAGAAGAAGAAGAGGAAGTCGCGCTGTCACTTCTACCTGAGTTGAAGGGCTGAAGCCGCGCTTTTACAATGTTGCCCTCGCGCTTCCACCCTATTACCAGCTTTGCCCCCTCCCGCCGCGGCGTCGTTTTTTCCCCCTACTGGCGAGCCAGAGGAGGAGAAACTTGCGTGGCTGCAGAGCACGGGCGACGCAGAGGCTGCCACGCCTCTGCGCGCGCCGGGGAGCGGTTGTACGAGGAAAACTGTCTCTTGGGTCAGCACAAAAATCTCGGCTTTCGTTGCGCCACGATCGCGATTTCTCTCGACTGGAACATTGTCTCGATCCGACAGCCCCTCGCCGCGGAGGAGGAACCGAGAATGGCCTTGAGAGGAGCTGCGGCCGTGTGCATTGGGAGGCACAGGAACGCTTCCTCGAGCTTGATTTCGATACCCAGTGGACTGCTCCGAAGATCCCCGCAGGGATTCGGTTCGTCGTCTCTTCAACACCAAGCTGGTGAGTTCTGGACTCTCTGTTGGATGGTTAGCCTGTAACATGCAGCTCTATCGTATGCTGTTCTGGTTTTGTTTTTCTGGGTTGGTTTATGTCTTCGAGTTCTGGGTCGGTTCTTGATTTGCAATTTGTCGTTATTTTTATGCGTACGTGCTGCTTGGCTGACGATATCAGGGTAAAGAGATGAATGAAGGCTGACGCTGAAGAGGATGAGTTTTGAGTTTTGATGCCGTTTCGCTGTTTTTCAGGAAGATCTGTTCGGGCAATTCAAGGAGCTGCCGCGGAGCCGGTTGCTCCCAAGAAAGAGGATGAGCGGCAGTCGCTCCGGGATTGGAAGATTAAAATGCTCTACGACGGCGATTGCCCGCTTTGCATGCGCGAGGTCTTTATCGGATGATATCATTAGGGATGTTTTGTTTATGACAGGGGAGTTATTGGTTGAGTTGTTCTTCTGATTTTCGGCGGTTGTTTCCCGTGTGTGACTTTAGGTTGATATGCTGAGAGAGAGGAATAAGCAGTATGGTACGATAAAGTTTGTCGACATCAGCTCGGCCGACTATTCGTCTGAGGAAAATCAGGGCCTTGATTACAAAACGGTATCAGACTGAACTATGATGCTATTAGGGCCTTCACTCTTATATCTTCACTGCATCATTAAGGTAAAAAAGAAAAGGAAACTTTTACATTGTTATTTAGACGCCCGAATTGAGTAGCTAATCAATAATGCGCAGAAATTAGTCGACCTATAATTTCCTGCTTCTTCCATTTCCCAGCCGTTATGAAAGATTGAAATTCTAGCAATCTACTTTCCGCATTCTCTGTGTATTGAGAAACTACAAAAGAATTTTCATGGCTATGTTGCTCGTGAAACTTCCATCCTAATTAGTTATGGGCCTATGCCACTGACATGCTTGTCAACCTGCAAAATCCTAATTTCGTAAACTCGTTCATCTTGATACTGTCGTGGCTTTTGAAGGAGAAAAGAGATAAATGTAACGTGACAATAGACTTGCTCTTCAACTTTCGGCACTGAATTATCAAGATTTGCTTCTTCTTGTTTCCAGGTTATGGGGAGGATCCATGCAATTCTTTCGGATGGAACTGTTGTGACTGATGTGGAAGTATGATCCTCTCAGAATCTTCATGCTAATTTGCATTTGTCAAGCATTTGTTGGTTTAAATTATTTTGGCTTCACATAAGTTAGTAATTATCTCTCCTCAGAAAGAAAACATGTATATACTAAAAAACCATAGTTAATTATACTTTCATTGCAAAAGTAAAGGAAGGAAAGGACTGCAAGAACAAGCCAATGTTTAGTGAAGAGCTCTTCATGTCATTGGACCTCTTCTTATAGGTATACAGTCTTTCAGCATAGACATATATGCCATTTTCAGTGATTTCTACTACTTTTGCAGGCATTTAGAAGACTTTATGAACAAGTGGGTCTTGGATGGGTTTATGCCATTACCAAGTATGAACCGGTAGGTTCTCTTCAGTTTGCTCACGATGCATGTCTAACAGTTATACTAAATTGATATGCTGCCAAACTCTGCATTTCCGAGCTTAATTTATGTGCTTCTTTCATAGATTGCAACCATAGCTGACTCGGTTTATGGAGTTTGGGCTAAATATCGTCTGCAAATTACTGGTAAGTTCTCTTTTAAGTAAATCGTCAAAACTCCGCGTGGTGTTTATAATTTCTTATTCATCGTTTACTATCCAAAGAATAAATTGGACTTTCAAATGACTTCTTGTCTCATACCGAAATAATCAGGAACTTGCTCATTCATGTATGATCAACCTCATTGCCGGTCTTTCTTTGATGTAACTGATTTGCTGTGACTAAAAGTGGCATGCCTGAGCAGTAAAAGTTTTCTGCAGTTCAACGGCTTATATCTACTGTGTAATTATCCCATTTTGAACGTCATTAGATCTACAGAAAGTTTCCTGTTTGGATTAAACATGCAATCATGCTTTCTTGTAATTTTCTGTAACGTAAGATTACATTAGCAGCAAGGACTATGCTTTCCTTCATCTAATTCTGGTTTCGGCCGATGCTAGCACATTGCCTGCAAAGCTTCTGCCTTTGCCATCTGGACTTTGCTTCAAATTGGTATATTCAATTTAGCAGTAAATAAGATAATGATTCGGTTTTGTGATTCATGGACCGTGTTTTTGACAGGGCGCCCACCGTTAGAAGAGATACTGGAAGCACGAAAGAGTAAGGTAGGACCCTATAGTGATGTGGACTCTCTCTCTCTCTCTCTCTCTCTCTCTCTCTCTCTCTCTGTTGTGTTTGAGTGCTTGTGAAATTCGGATGCATTTGAGTGCTTGTGAAATTCGGATGCAAAGATGTCTTTTTTGGTCATTTTTTGACCCACGCCTCTAGAACTCTGGTAACTACTCAGAGCTGTACTGATTAAATCACCTTTTCAGTTGTTATGGTAAAAATTCTAATCGTTTCATTTCTTGAATTTGGACTTTTGACACTTGATTACCTCTTTGTCTTAGAAGATGTTCACCATTTGGGAATTCGTTATCTAGCAGGGGAGCGTCGCCTATCTCTTTGACATAGAAGTAGCACTGAGAACCTAAAATGATTGGACATTGTTTTGGGGTACCTAGCATTTATTTCCATTTATAGAAAAGCTCTCGGTTGTTTGAACTTGTTTTCTGCTGAACCTAACTGGACAATATGCTATATAGCCCTTTGCCAATGAGCAATGGTTCATTGTACTAAAGATTGCTGATTGAAACTGAAATTCGAGGTCTGTTAGTGAAATGTAGTCATTCTGCAGGCGTCAAAAATGAGATTGTGTGACTATAATCAAGCAATTCTAGCGTTGCTTTCTGAAGTAACTGGATCCTGATTGGTATGCTTGCTTATTTGATACCGTTGCAGGGTGAAATGTGTAATGACAGCGACAAATGTAAGATGTGAACCTTTGGCGAAGGTTAATTTTTCTATACTGGGGAGAGGAGCTCCATTCGTTGCTTTTGTAACAAAAATCTGTTCCGGAAATCGCCGATGTATTTAGTGCATCAAATAGTCAAATTTTATAGGAAGATTACATTGTCCCTATTTTGTAACACGAAATCTCGGGTCTGTGGAAGTGATGACTAGCCGTGAATAAATTGGCTCATCAAAATGCATATCCAATCTGGTGCACATCATAGTTTGTTTAGACTATTCTCTTTAATACTTACCATTCAGATGTTTGCACAAAGACTTTAACTTGCTAGCGCATTAGCAAGAAGTAGACTCCTGCTAAATTGATTGATCAACCCTTCTCAAATAGAGTTTGTGCACAGCAGGTAAATAATCGATTGCCAGCATAATTGTAGTCTCGTCAAGCTTGCCACGGTTTTCTTCTTCTTCTTATTTTCACAAGAAACTTGCCTTAGTTATCCCTGCATCAACGGTTACTGTAGAATCTCATATCTCAATAATATGCGACATATCAGCAGAATTGTAGCTGCTTACTATTCCCCAACTCTTTGTTCAAGCGAAATTCTAGAAGTACATCATAAGATTCTGGACACAAATCACCCATTGACATCTTTTATTTTGAATTTTTGAGAATTTGCAAATATCAGGTAGCAGCTTGTACACAAATTAAAGCGGCTCCAAGCTAAGCCGTCATTGCCGACGATGAGTATGTCGGATTTGTATCCGGAAGAAAAATTATGCACTTGATTCGGGAAAACCGAACACAGCCACAAGTTCGTAAGCACCAGCTGTACATCTGCTAGCGCACCCGAGCCGCTGCACTTTAAGCCAGCAGCATCTAATGAGGTTCTATCACAAGGTATATGTACATCCTCATAATATATCTTGAATTCCAGATGCAGCGCATGATTTTCTCTTGAGCACAAGTTTTCTTATGGAGAACCACTTGAAGATGCTGAAAAGCTTTCTCCATCTCCTCTGAGCTTTGTCATGGGCATCAGATAGAAGCGGTGAACGAGAACGACTTTGTGTGTCAAAAAACTGAAAATGTTCCTCATCGGCAAAACTTTGGCTCAACGGGCCGGGATCATGAATCAACGGGTCGACGATTAGACCAGAGATAGTTGAAGACTGATTGAATCTAAGATCCACATCGTCTAAAGAATCAAAGGAATAATCATCCATGGTAAAGATAGATGAAAAGGTATTTGGTGAAGACATGTGCCGCTGTGCATAATCAGATCCACCGATCTGATTCCTCGTCAGAAGCCTTAAACTACCAGAACTGGAGGTCCCAGGCGAGCTCGGGCTACAAAGGGCACTGTTTGTATTCAAAAGCCCGGTTGGACAAGATTCATCACCAAAAGCGACTACGTCCTCCCAGTGTTGCCTTGCGGATATTACCATGTCGTTGTCATCAGCCTGAGCGAAGATATATATATGTTATAAGAGATTGATGACAGCTATTAGAACTACCGGGAATAGCCAGAAAAGTGCACCTTTTCAGCTTCGGATAGCTTCTCCGAGGGAATATATTTATCATCAGAAAGCCTTCCCATCCCTTGCCCTCCCATGTTGAAGAGAACACCAGCCTTTGGCTCTGAGGAGGGAGGGCGGTACAAGTATATTTTCTGGTCCAGAGAACAAGTTCGGGCGTGCTCAACAGTAACTTCCCACATTTTACGAGACATACCAGCACCAAGAATCTGCAGATCAGGAAATCCTCTGCTTAAACAATTGTAGTTTTCAAGAGCTGAAATGAATCATCTTTGAATGACTCATTACAAATCAGTCCAAAGTTGAAACCATCTAAACTGGCATTGCTACAAAACCCAAGGGCTTGTTAGGACGACTAAGTAGACAGAAAGAAAGTTATTTTCGAGCAGGTAGATACCGAATTTCTGTCAAACAGAAAGGCACGGTGTCTGAAATAAGAAGTATGCCTGAGCTAAGAGAGACTATTGCCTCCACATGACATTTCTTAGAAGGAGGCCATGAGTTCACACTGTTGAACATGTCTCGTACACTGATATTGCACCCTTGAGGCAGATGCTCAATGCGAAATGTGAACAACCTTTCAAAATGTTAATCGAGGTAAAACAGATCAATTACAGTTCGGAGCCTTGAAGGATCAACAGAGAGTAGGATCAAGAAATCTTTCACAGTGTTGACATTAGCCTCACTGAGACGCTTATGAAAAGCTCCATCTTTGCCAATCTTCTCTAATCTCCACACATCATCTAACGGAGCAGGAGGGTGATGCTTCTTGTACACTGCAAGCAGAAAACAGAGTTCAGGAGGAAGTCTTAAACTTATGCCTTGCCTCTATAGCGCAGAATAATCTAGGTGTAGAAATGGTGGATGCTTTCATTATCGACTTGACCAGAGCTGTAGTATCAAATTCCCAACTCATGAAATTAAAGACGTCACAGATACTAGTTACAACGCTATGCCCTTGCTGATAACAATATTCCAATTTGGATGAAAAGGCAGAAGCTGATATCAGACGAGAAATGCAGAAAATATTAGTCAAATAAGAGGAATATCAAACATTGTTGAAATAAATAACATGACAACAGGAGTATGAATGCAAAGAAGTATGGCAAGGGTAAGCTCATTTATGCTCCTAAAAGTATGACCATTCACGCACGATGACATGGAATAGACTCTAGAGAGAAATTGGGATAAAATTATCAAAATGAGAAAAAAATTGAAATAGATAGCATTGAATGATGACGTCAAACACCTTGATAAATGACAGCCAGACGACCTGGGATAATATGAACTCACATTCTCCCCGGTGATCCTTGACCACAAAAGATTCTGTTTTTGCTTCCCTTATCCTAGTCTCTTCAAATTTATCCATAACTCTTGCCCCGAGTCTAAACCTGCGGCTCCTTGTCCAGCTTGAGTTATCTGAAAAGACAATTTCACCAACTAAGCCGACTCCATCTTTGAGTTTCACAACTCCATCCCCTGTAAGAAGGGGTCTCTTTCCATCCCTCTCTCTAACAATATTATTCTCAAATTCTTCAACTGTCCACTTGCTGCCTTCATCTCCATCAAAATCTCCCTCAAGAACTACAATTTCTACATTGGCAGATGATTCAGGGCCAGTATCAACAATTCGCCCAGTAAAACCATCCACTAGAGCTACCTTCATCTTAGAACCGTCATCACCCTCAAGTCGAGCACCAGTAAATAATGGAAGAGAGAGACCATTTAAAAATTGTAACTGTAAGCTTCTTGATTCAGAAGGATGCACCTCTTTCTCGCAACTCCTGTAATAAGTACATGACTGTATTAAGACTTTACAAGCTTTGAGCCCAAGTATTTTCTCATTCCTTTTCCATTTTAGTCGAGTTAATAGATATCTATTTTGACAGAATGGAAAGAAATTTCTACCTACTCATTGCAGTAAAATGATTTCCCAGAGCAGCCTCGATTTCCTCCTTAACCTGTAATGACTTGATGTCAACAACTTATACTTCTAATAAGCAGGCAGTGATGGCATGAAAATGTACGAAATAGATACCGACAAACATGGAATATGACGAATAACAAAGAACATACGCTACTGCCTATGTGAAAGCGTTAGCAACGGACCTTTAAGCAGCACTTTAAGCATCAACACCATCTCACAACAAGTCCTTGCATGCAAGATATATTTTCAAGTTCCCTAAACAACAATTATATTGAGGCCACCTACATAAAAGATCCAAGCAACTCAGATCCACCTACAACTTCGTGGGCTAATTTATGAGGGCAATGAGCACATATACAAAAGAATTTGTGAGAACCAGCTCTATACATAGCAAACAAGATCAACTGAAGATCATAACTGTGAGATTTTGGTGGGACCACTGCCAACTGTTCTAAAAGCTTAAGCTATTAGATGAAGGCGTGGTTTAATATTTAATTATTCTAACACTCCCCCTCACGCTTAGTCTGGTCTTTTTTTGTCTAGTACTAAGCGTGGACATATTTAATTGGGGAGGCAAATAGGGCCTAGAGATATTTGAACTCGAGACCTCCAGCTCTGATACCATGTGAGATTTTGGTGGGACCACTGCCAACTGTTCTAAAAGTTTCAACTGTTAGATGAAGGCGTGATTTAATATTTAATTATTCCAACAATAACAAGTACTCGTATAAAAGAAGTTTCTCATCTTCATAGCTAGTACTTCCAACTTTAATTTCTGTATTTCCAGGGTTTTGTTGAGAAATGTAGCCTAAATTTTTCGAAAAACAAATATTTTCAATTCTGTTCTCTAAGGTTGGATTACCACTATAATACCCGTAAGACCATGTAAGACAATTGAAAGACACCTCCTCTCATGTGTCCCTTTTGTGAGAGAGACTAATAATTTGACGATAAGACTGTCCTAAGAATCTAATGTGTTACTCTCATTAGGCTTGGCAGACCGCACAAAATGACAGCAGCTATCATAATGCGAAGTCAATTCGATCGAGAAGCAAACCAGGTGGGAAGACAAAAGGGCTGAATTAACAAGGTCAGAACAGACCAATCCGTAGGCAGAACAAAAGCAACTCGTGCTTTAATCACAGGATGACTTGGAACGGCAACTCACATATTTAGCTCGTCGGCACAATCTAAGAAGAAGATACTCACCACTCTACGAACCAAAGGCTCCAGAATTTGCTCCAAGAAATTTTGCACGCGCTGCTTCCTCATTACTTCCGAAATAACACTACACACAACCAAGTTTACAAATCATTATCTAAGCCAAGTAATTCAAGGAGGACAGTATTGAATGAACCAGTATGCTTAAAGTAGGCCGTTCCTCCAATGGCAGGATTTTCTGAGAATCAAGCCGGAATCATCTTTCACTTCCTAATTCTAGCAGCAGAAGCACAACAAAAACTTCGAATTTCCCGAACCATCATTGAGCAACTATGCACCGAGGTCAACAGCGACCATTTCCAGAAGGAAATCAGCTAGTTGACCATCACGCTTTGCCGCTAAAGCGAAAAAAGAAGAGCATGCGCAGCTTCTACTGATCAAGCAAAGGCTCGAAGAATCCGACAATCCACTCTCGATTGATATCTACCATTAGCACAGACTAAGGATTCACGCCACCGGTCGAGGCCATCCAAACAGAGACAGATTCCCAAGACGAAGCTAGAAAAGTAAGAAGAAGGCGAAAGATTCCACTCACTGCCTTAAGGTAGGAAGCCGACGACGCTTATCCCGGGGGCTATGAGCGCCATCCTCCTTCTGCCGCTTCTGCGACATCAATTACAGAGAACGACAGAAAAACACGGCACCGCGCGGGGCGACGGGAGAAACGGGAAGCCAAGTATCGGGCTAGCGTCGTGCGACGAGGCGGCGGCCGTCGGCGATCGCGGTCAATCGTGGTTGCGCTGCTTCGCTAGCCATTGTCGGCGTTCAATCGCCGCCGCGACGGCGACGCTCCGTCCCCGCGAGACGCCGCGACCATCCTGCGGAGCGAGCCGTCCTCGATTCGGGAGCGAGCGACGGGAGGGGGAGCGGGAGCTCGTCGTCGGAGTCCCGTCCGGAGCGTCGATGGAGATCGGAGGTCGAGCTCCGCCGGCGAACGCGTGAGCAGAAGAGAGGGAGTGGGGCCGGAGAAAGCGCGTTACGGAAAAAGCAGAAGAGGAAGAGCTTTGAATAATTTTCGTCAGTGGGACAAAGTAGACTCTATATAGTCGGGCTAATTTACAAAAAAAAAAAAAAAAAATCAACTCCACCTTAAATTTGGAGTCAAATTTGAAATTTGAATAACAGTTTGTGCTTTTCTTTGGGACAAAAAAAAATTCGGGTTAAAACATAATCTTGAATTTTGGCACAACATGAAATATCACATTTTAATTTTTAATTTATTCAATATGATCATTTAGCTTTTGATTTACGTTCAATTTAATCTTTAAACTATATGAAAATGTTCTAGGTTGCTCATGAATTTAAATTAATGAAAAGACGATATTAGATATTTTCATATAACTCAGGGACTAGATTGAGTATTCACCAAAAAGTTCAGGGACATGTTGAGCAAATTAAAAGTCCAAAGACGACATTACATGTTGAGTTAAAATTTTGAGATACATTGAATAAATTAAAAGTTGAAGAACGACATTGCATCTGAAGTCAAAATTCATAAATTATTTGTGTAATTATCTCGAAAAAGAAAAAGGGGAGCTTTGAAGAATTTCCATCGGTGGGCCCCATCAAGACCGTTACTTTTTTTGGTAAGCAAGGATGGCCGTTGGATTAACAAGGTGGAAAGTAGCGGGACGCAATGGATGGATTCTGGACAAAACACTGTAGTCACTTTTTTTTCTCTTTTCCCAGTCAACAGAATATCATTCAAGCAGCACTAGTGTTTCAGTCAAGTCAAAGCAGATGCTGAACCCCCCTCGAAGGATTGTCATGCAAGGATGAATTTCCACGGACAGCATACGACTCCCACTCAATGTTGGTGCTTCAGCAGAGAGCTGAAAAGGAGAGATGCTTTCCGCATCGCCAGCTGCTTGTATCATGTCCACACAATGAGCATCAATGAACTGCTGCTGATAGTGCAACTGTACTGAACGCCCTTCAACTTCAGACATGAAGAAAGTGTCCTTTGGCAATTGTCTTTGAAATTAATTGTTTCTTCAACCCGACAGCACGATGCCCCGGGGGAAGGGGGTTCCACTCATTACGGTACAAGGATGAGAGGGTAGGTACACAAAGTATCCTGCCAATCCTACTTCTATTTTTAATGACTGATCTAGTCGAGGCCTAAATTCTAACGCTGAAAGAATCCTGTGTGTTTGTAAGCCGAACCGTCTGTGTAGCGCCGGCCTCTGATCATTGCTCCCTGGGGGGGGGAAGAAGAAGAATTTCGCAATGTACACAATGTACACGGTATCATAAGGACAACCAGAGCCCGCAGTAGCCTGCCATGCTGCATGATCTCCGTCTACAAGTGCTGGAGTCGATGCCGCAGTCTTCATCGGTCAAACACCGGTGGTTGCCACGAGCATCGGGGACGTGACAGGCGCTCTCCATTCTCTGTCCGTGTGAAGGGGTGCTCAATGCAGGACAGAGTTGCAAAGACATAGCACTTCCTCCTCTTGTTCGCTTGTCCGTCTGCTTAAGCCAAAAATGCACAAGATTTTACATAGATTTGACACTTTCTAGGACTCGGAACAGGGAACACCAAGGGGCAGGGACCATGAGGGTTGATCAGCCGATAAGTACCAAAAAGCTAAAGGAAGTAAGCAACAGCAACTTATGAATTGAACGAAGCATGAGTTACAAAGGGTCAATTTTGTTTTTGGCTATAAGGAGAGATGAGCACCTTGAAAAAGGTCCAGTTGGTAGGGATGAAGGTCTCGGGAAGCCTCTCTTGCCAATCTCTCATTACAGGAAGAGGGTGACCCTCTGTTGTGAATACATAGTTCTGATTGACCAAAAACTGGTCATCAAAGAGAAGATACAAATACTTGCACCTGCAGAAAATTCAAATGAAACTTCAGCATATGCTAGTTCATGGGAGCATATATGCATTGAAAAGGCCCTCTTACGTTTCAGCGAGAAAGAAACTGTGCTGGTGGTCTTCCAGTTGCATGGTTGTCACGTCCCTGACGCTCGCAAATCCTCCCTCCACTTTAGTATACAGATTAAGGGAATTAACCATTGACTCACCCACTTCGATGTACCATGGATCTAATAACATGTCAAATAGTTACATGATCAGGAGAAAGATGTAGAAAGTACAACAAGGTGCCCAAATAGACGTTTTACACCATCAATGGCCACTGAGACCAGCAGATTAATTGCGCTTTCATGACGTGCAAGAATATACTTAAGCACCTCTTCCTAGTATATCACACTAAAAGTACGCATGAAAACTGATGAATCACAACTGGTGGTATCTAATACTCGAGCATTTCATCTTATGTTTTGCTTGCTCTTGCTAAATAGGAAAGTTTTGAGGTGAAGTTTGTTTATCTAACAAATCAAGAGAAGAAATTAATCATCCCAGCCATATCCGCCCCCCCCTCTCTCTCTCTCTCTCTCTCTCTCTCTCTCTCTCTCTCTCTCGATCACCTCCATCACATCAAGTTGAAAGTAAGACAGATGACACACAATTACCGACCTTTGGTTGCTTGATATAAGTAGAATGTGGACTCAGCCAATTCAGGGCGAAGAGGGTAGTACTTCTCTGTAGGATGAATTATTTGATGATCAAGCAAGTACCTTTCTGGTATTACCCCAAACTTCTTCCACACATGAACAAATTCACGGTGTGTGGAATTTGCAGCAGCAATATCCCCAACAAGAACCTAATCATGTTAAAGTGTCACTTTTTTTATGAAAGTTCCCGAAGCTTCAAACAATAATTCCCTATAGGACATAGCTTACTTGCCTGTAACCCAGGCCAAAAAGCTTGAAGGCTTGTCAGCTGCCAGTAAGTTGCTTTTCCCGTTCTCATATCAGCTTCATGATACCTATTTAGAAAATCAAAAGATCATTCCATTTTTATCACCACAAGTCAACTTTTAAAGCTAGTAAATATAAGCTAGCCCCCTTTTTTTCGACGGTAAAATACAAGCATATCCATACTAAATGCTGCCCTGTCTAACTCCTTTAGTAGTCAGACAAAATCCAGTTCACATGTGCTTAAGGACTCTAATTTTCTTTTTTTCTTTTTTTTTAGGCGGGTGGTGACTCTAATTTTCTTTAATAAGTCAATAGTCAACTATTTCTTGCATCATGTCATTTGGAAAAAATGCCAATGAGAGTGGAAACAAGGACAGTTTTACTGAGTAAATTCACTAAATTCCTCTAGAGCAGTTTCCTTACAAAGTGAAGTGTAGTGAGGACATAATCAAGAAAGTGCCCACAAAAGCTGACATGCAATTTATCTTCTATTGGTAAATGATGAAGGACCTCTGGATTCTACATGTGTACAAAAAAACACGAGAATGCTTTGCTGTCAACAACTTTCCACCAAAGCAAAGCTAGTATGCATGAATATTTGATTAGGCAGAAATATAAATAGAATATCAACAGTGAAATAAAAGTGTCCATCGTACCAAGGACCATGTCTGAAGTATTTCTGCACGGCGAGATAAGCAGAGTGAAACATTCTCCAGTAGTCCTCCTTCCCGAATAAAATATAAGCTTTGAATAGATACTCATAGAAGGAATCAACTCCTGCAAGATTATACAGCAGCAAAGATCAGAAGCATTACAGTCATCGTGCAAGCACTTAGATACTTCAAATTAGATAATTAACGAGGTAATAAAGGTGCTTCTTCAACAAATCTAATTAACAAATAGACACAGCACCTTAAATTACACAAGTAAAGAGACCAATACCAGCCCCAATCCCAGAGGAATACTCGATCCATTCTCCCGTTTCCACATCTAGAGTTGTCCCCAGTAAATTTAAGGAACTCCTCATGCTCCATAATTTGCGAAGTGCACGTAAAGCAGCAGACTCAAACCTGGGGTCTCCAGTTAGTCGTGATAATGTGCCCATTTCGAGAATTAGTGAACCTGAACCAGCCACAAAAGCGAACAAATGTCAGCAGCAACACGGGACAGTACGTCATAATTATCTGTAAATAGTGAGGTCCTCACCACACCCAGAGGTGCTCGTTTCAGTAGTCTCATCAGCCGTTACTCCATACTGTTAACACGATTTTGCAGTGATCCAGAGTGAAAATCTTACAGAAAAGACAGGCACATGAAAAATACATAACATATTCTATTACAGCAGCCATAACCATGACAATGCATTTCTTTAAAAGGCATTGGATAAGCTAAAGGAAATGAGGATCTCTGCCACTTAGTCCAATGTAGTAAACTTTTCTTCAGCTTCTCTAGTTGACATAAAATAATGCCGACAACAAAAGGAAGGCATAGAAAAAAGAGGTATATATGCACAAAGGAAACCAACCAGCATCTCCCAACCCCTTAAGGATTTTTTTCCTGTGATATTACCGGTCAGAACAGCTTTTATAACTATCCGATACAACCACATGCTCAGTCTAACTCATTCTAGCCATGGAAGAGAAGACTTGCCTTAAATTAATGTTACAAACAGAAATAATGCATCACTAGTTCACAATAACACTGTCATCATTAGTTCACAATAACACTGTCAAGGTCCAGATACTCCTTTCACATAGACCTTGATATTTTACTCAATGAAACTGTAGGAAGGTTAAACTGCCATGCCATTAACACTTGGAATGAGAAACTGGTGATCATCTATAATACCAGTCGCATATGCTAAAATTTTGTCTTTGTTGGTTACTATATCTTTGCCTTGAAACATCCCTATATTGTACCTTCAAATTAATCCAAGCGTATGGCAATCCAGTCGGTGTATCAAATGCAGGTAGAAAGCGTTTGCCTAGATCTTTTGCTAGGAAAAGCAGCTGGTTCTTGTAAGATCCTTGAACCAACCTGTTTGTAGAATCAGTGGCAAGAATATGAGCAGAAACAAGTCCTCCAAGAACTCTTATGTTGCACTACACAATAGCAGTCAGGTAAAGAAAGATTATTAAAGATTTCAATTGCAAATCTCACGATATTCATTAAAAGCAACGTCGCTGGACCAATTCTTTTTAATTAAGCACAAACATACATAATTTTTTTTGAAGTGTAGTTTCAGATTATTTCAGATTTTCAGAACCGAATACCTCAAAAAGATTTATTCGTGCATCAATATCAAATTTCAGATTTTCAGAGAGCCAAAAAACTGCCTTCTCAAACTCAGTGTTATTCCCCAATATAACGAGGCTGCAAGAGAGAGAGACAGAGACAGAAAGAATGTTAGCAAGATGGACCAGAAACTGGAGCTAACAATGCACAAAACGATAAATGCTGTCAGTTTGTGAAAAAACAAGAGTGTACAGTGCACATGAATAATGACATCAACAGCTGACAAAAAGATCTGCAACTTACCTAGATAATGATTCTACCAGCGTAAGGGCAGATCCATTGTAGTCTTGTGGTAGGTGCTCAAGCTGAAAAGAAAACACCGGGAGGATGAGTTGTCACCAAGCATCTCAAACTGATTTATTCCTCAATTACAGAGCCAATCCGTTATCACCTTAAGATTGCCAAGCTCACTAAGAGAGTCTGTGAAAGTTTTCGTTAGAGGCTTCAGCTCATCATGCTGTGAGAAAAAAGAAGCATCATTCAGCAGAACACTCAAATTGCAGTCCCTCGATCTCCAAATATCAGGAAAGAACAGCAACTGACCGGAAAAGCGTGGGTCATGTAGTTGTCATATGCATGGTAAAACCTGAAAGAAGACAAATGATGAATGGGGTCAAATGAAATCCCAAAGCCCCTGATCAATCAAGATGCATTTCATGCCTGGTAGAATGAAAAAGAACACTTGAAGATCAGATAAACCGGTATTACACATCGTTCTTTATTCAAGATTGCCGTGCGAAACACAATTCTCGTCAGACTGATTACTGTCAGCAAGAATGCAGATTCAATCACAATCAAGTCCCAGGCATATTCAAATCCATAACAGTGGAAGCAACATCCACATCAAGTTCACTTCCCACACAGCTCTCAATCTATCAAAACTTCATCAAAGAAACTCATAAGCAAGAACCCATCCCGGCAAAATTATCAAATCTCGAGAAAGAAGGGCATTGCAAGATTGCTGGTCCAGTCCCATCACATCCTCACGAACCACAGTTACACACCGAAAAAAGGGAAAAGTTACACAGCAGCCCATTGGCAGGAACACGGCACACCCAACAAGACGTTCAAGAATCGGCACAGACCATCGTGGCCTGAAAGGAACAAGAATCAAGTGGGTCAAGGGGGTAGCGAGATTTTCAAACATACATCCGGCGGACTTTCTCCCTCAGGAGCCTCCTCTTCGCTTCCCGGCGCGAATCCGGCTCGGAAACGGACGAGATCACGAGGAGCATCAGCAGCAGGGTCCTGAAACCGCGAGGAACCATGTTGTCCTCGGGGCGTACGTGGGTTCGGGCGGGAGCGCGCGTGGGGGCCTGCGACGAGAAGAAGGGGAAGCCCCGGCGGTGGATTTTTGCTTTAGGACCGCGAGGCGGTGCGAGCTGCGAACGGCGCTATACGCGCCGTACGGATCTTGTCTGTAGTGGTATATTCGCGAATTCGTGATCTCGTGATGAAGTGGAAGGCGATTGGTTCGAGGGGACGCGCTTATTTTGACCGCATCGCGAGAGGGGTAAAAAGGTAATGAAACCCGGGAACCAAAATTACTCGATATATAAAGCTTGCAATTTAATATAGGGTTAATGCCACGAAAAATCTTAAATTGATACACATATAATAGATTTACCTTGAACTTATTTTTTGACCACTAAAAACTCCAAATCGGTACACTTAGGACAAATTTACTCTCCTTAAAATTAGATTAATATCACGAAAAATCATAAATTAGTAAACATTTGAGACAAATTTACCCTATTTAAAATTAGATTAATATCACGAAAAATTACAAATTCGTAAATTTGTGACACACGAAGGGGAAAAACCCTAAAATGGTACACCCATCAACTGTTGTGTGTCACTCAACTCAGCAATTTGAAGGTAAAATTTAACGGAAACTAACGGAGGGTAAATCTATGACGAATGTACCAATTTGGGGTTTTTTATGGTCAAAAAATTAGTTCAAGGTAAATCTATCATAGGAATATTAATTTGGAGGCTTTTCGTTATATTAACCCTATATTAAATTACAAGTTCTACGTCCAGTAATTTTGGTCAGGTATGTGCCCCTATTACCTAAATTCAAAGCATTGTTCAATTTAGATAATAAGATGGCTATTGGAGTCTTAGGTGCTTTGCCGTCACTTTTACACGCGCTTAGATGGGAAAGCGAGCTCGCAAGGCGCGACTCCGCACCTTTAACCCTTTGTAGCTAGTAAGTTTCTTAAGTGATTCGTAAGTTTAGCGACGAAAAAGTAACCTTAAACCTGCGAAAAAAATCAGTAATTCCTCCATCTGGTTAGCTGATTTTCCATGTCAAAGACCACATTTTTGTCATGTAAAATAGCAACTTTTTAGTCTTTTAATGCAGCAATAAACTCAAGCAAGTCTGCATATGTCATTGATCAGCATCCTTTCCATTGCTTCATGGACCAAATCTATTCAAAGCGGAGAAAATTTCCCTAGCGTAGCTCGGACTCAGCCTCACACTCGCAAACGTCATCTTCGCTCGTCAGTAATGACTAGACCTGTCAAATGGGTGAGTCGGGTCGGATTTGGGTCGGGTCATAAATGATCCGACCCAAATTGACCCATTAACCCATTTATACGTAATGCAATTTTCTTGACCCATATTCGACCCGACCCATACTCAACCCATACCCGATCAGACCCATATTGCTAAAACACTTTCATATTTAATTAAATTTAGAAAAATTCATATCCAAACTGAGATGAGAGTGCAAAGTGAGTGAGTGCAAGGTTGAGTAAGGGTGAGAGAGATGAGTTGAGTTTAAATCAGTTGTAAACTCATTTATGACCCATTTACGACCCATTTATGACCCATTTAATACTAATATTATACTTCTACCCTTTATGATCCATTTACTAAATATAACTAACCCATTTATGACTCATTTACTAATATATGGATTAAGAAATGGATTTATAACCCATTTTGACAGGTCTAGTAATGACAAATGCACTCGTTGACTTCTAGATCACCACACACGTTTGTGGTTGACTTGGCGCATTTCTGCTTCCTCTGGCCAAAAGTTTTTCATTGAAACCGTCATTGTCCACCACGACCATCATGAAATGCACATCGGCGACGAAGACCCGATGCTTGTAAAAAGAACTGGAAGGCCAGCGAGGAAAGAAAAGCTAAGAACAAGTCAATGTAGTTTATTGCCCATGGCCCTTCCAAAATCAGATATGTTCAGTATAACATCCAGAAGACAGAACAGAGAACAAATGAGTCAAAAGAAGAGGCAAAAGAGAGGAGCAGAAGAAACGCAACACAGCAATAGTATCACTCACTCTCTCGCTGAGTAAAGTAATATGCACACCTACATATGCACAAACTCGCCTAACCAGAGCAACTGGAAATTCCAGCAATGGACTGAAATTCCCTGCTTGAGGGTATCTTCGGCGCAATGCCAGGCATCCATTTTCACTCCGCAAAATGGTAACTTAGCTTTAATGAAACGAAAAGCACGAGTTTCCCTTCCTTCCACCTGCAGTTTGTAGCTGAATTTGTCCACTGCAACTTAATTTACCAGACTTAATTGGGAAAGGGAACTGACGTAATGAACAGTTAGAACTCGGTAGTGTTTGCACCGTACAAATTCCTCCCATCAGGCCCGAAGTGGCCGAATCGGTATCGAGTCCTGTTAAATCCGCTCGATTCCAAGGGCACCAACCGGTCGGGATCCTCTTCCTCGCCTTGCTCCGTTCCTCTCATCATTTCGATCAACCTCCTAGCCTTCTCTCTCGCTCGATCGGTCCCCTTCTCCTCGACCTCCCTCAAGACCTCCACTGCCTTTGCATCCCTCACCAGCCCTTTAAACCTCAAACTCCCGTTGCTCATTGCGTAGAGTGCTGCAACGCAAGTCTCTCTGCTTGCCTCAGACTCCACCTCCTTCCCTCTCAAAAGCTCGACTAGAATCCCCACCGCGTTGGCATCGAGCATAGCCGACTTTCCCTCCACGCAAGCAGCAAGATTGCACAGAATGAGCAATACCCGGTTGGCCAAGTTCTTAGCTTTCACCATCGCCAATAGAGCCGGCACCGCGTTAAGCTTCACCAATTTGATCCTATTGCTCTGCACCAGGGTCAGATTATACAGAGCAAGTGCCGAGTCATGCCTCATGCGCTCGCTCTCCGATCTAAGCGCGTGTAAAAGAGGTGGCAAAGCACCTAAGACTCCAATCGCCATCTTATTATCATCATCCAAAGCTAAACTAAACAATGCGCCTGCAGCGTGCTCTTGCGCTTCGCCGAAACTTCCCGTCAACACATCGATCAACAGGGGCACAATCCCTGACCTCACTATTTTAACCTTGTTCGCATTCTCCAGCGACAAATTGACCAGCGAAGCAACGGCATTTACCTGCATCGTGTTGTGCCGTGCGGCTAGGAGCGGCTTGAGCGCGGCGATCATCCTCGGCGTGCACAGAGAAATCCTGCTTTCCTCTTTCGTCCTCGTGATCTTCCTCAGCAAGAGCACGCCCTGCTCTTGGTCGTAAAGCTCGGAGCTCTCCAGCATCGCCAACAAGTTCTCCTCTTCCGGATTAGGAGCCAAGCCCAAGGTCTCGCTCTCCACGAGCTCGGACGAGCTGCACGGCGAGAAGCAGGAAGGCCTCGTGGTCAGCGGCAATGGAGTCTCCGGGCTAGCCGCGACCACCACGGATTCCTCCGACGGGCTCGAGTAGAAGTGGTTGACCCGGGGACCGACCTCGCTCACCGCGTGCGAGAATATCACCGGCGGGTTCTCCGCGACTCCCTTCAGCAGCTCCCTCTCCGAAGCCCTGATCTCGCCCCTCGGCTCCTCCTCCTCCTCTCCCCCATCCAGGGCGGCGATTTGGGACCGCACGACCCTCTCGACGGAGCTATAATCCGGCGCCTGCGGGGGCAGGGACCCCGATTTGTCGCACCAGTTAAGGATCGTCCTCTGGAGGGCTTTGTTCGAGATGAGAGCGGTGAAATCGGGCCTGGAACCGTCGTCCACGGCCGGCGAGAAGCCCAGGTCCTTGCACACCTGGGCGGAGACCCGCTCGAAGGTCTGGCCCGACGAGACGACGACGGGGTCCGCCATGAGGGACCCGGTGACCGGGCACAGGAACTCGCGCGGCGGGTCCTTCGAGACGGCGGCGGCGGAGGCGGAGGCGGAGGAGGAGGAGGAGGAGGAGCGGCCGAAGGAGATGATCCACCGGTGCTTCCTTCCGTTACCGCCGCCCATTGCTTGCTCGGGGAGCGGGAGGCGATGGCGGCGGTGGCGGAGGACGGGACGAGCTCAGGCGAGAGAGGAGGCCGGAGCTGAGGGTATGGGGAGATGGGGCATGGCCGTGTGGTGGTGGAGTTCGGAGATTCTGTCCGCCCGCTATGCCTTTTCTCCCTCTACGCGGCGGCGGCGGCGACTGTTATAAAGAGAGAGAAAGAGGGAGGAGTGGGGAGGATGACTGCGCATGAGTTGACTTTGACCGGTATAACAGAAGGTGGTCGAGGAGCCGACCGTGACCGTCCGTTAAGACAGCCTTGTCTTCTTCTAATGTTTTGTGTGATATATCATATCTCGTCCTCCAATTTATATTTTTTGTGCAATTGAGTCCTTCTACTTTTAATTCATGGGAAAATGACGTAAACAGTCCCTGAACTTTTGCCTAATGTACAATATAATTCCTGAACTTTTAATTTGCTCAATGTGGTCATTGAAGTTTAATTTATTCAATATTGTCAATGAGCTTTTGATACATGTTTAATTTAGTCTCCGAACTCTATGAAAGTATTCAATATAGTCCTTCCATTATTTCAATTTCAGGGACTACATTAAACATTTTCGTATACTTCATGGACTACATTAAATATGTACCAAAAGTTCAAATACCACATTGAACAAATTAAAAGTTCGTGGACTACATTGAACATTGGGTTAAAGTTCATGGATCGTATTGAAAAAATTAAAAGTTAAGGGATTACATTGCACATTAAGCCAAAGTTTAAGAATTGTTTATATGACTATTCCTAATTCATACAAGTTAGATTCTTTTGCTTGCGTGATTCCACGAGTTTTTTTATATCTTTAAAAAATCATTTGAGTGTGTGTGAAATTAGGGGAAAAAAAATTCTTCTCCGCACTCGCGTATTCGACATAGACAACCTCTTCATATGGATATATTTATGGGCGTCTAGTAAATTCATATTTAAGGTGGGATTTCAAGAGCCTATCTATTTATTAATGGTTCAACGAAGTAAAAAGCATTCCTATAATTTCCTGTTTTAATTATAACAAATTTATGTGAATTTCTTATTAAAAAATGTTTCCAACATTTTCGAATTTAAAATATGTGAGCTTTTACTACAAAACAAGCAATGGAGCATCTTTTTGTGTTTATAGACTAAGCCCAATGTGCTCATCGACAAAACTATCTTTCCTTGGGAATCATGACAATTTTCAAGTGATGATTAATCTAATTTCTTTGCAATGGTAAACAAATCATGCCAACAACACAAGCTAGGAACAAGTATATATAATGATGCACAAATGGTACCAAAACTTGAGTTCAATGTGCTACATCGTCCATAAACTTTCAATTTATTTAATGTGGTTTTTAAACTTTCAATACATGTTCAATTTAATCACTGCATTATATAAAAATGTTCAACGTTGTCCTTGAATTTGAATAAATGGAAGAACAACGTTGAATGTAACATGTATCAAATTGAATAAATTAAAAATTAAGATACAATATTGTATACATGGTTAAAGTTTAGGAATCACATTGAACCAAATTTTAAGAACCATTTGTGTCATTTTCACCTATCCATAAAGATATATATTTTTTGGTCAAATCTATAAAGATAGATGAAAACAAATAACATGCGTCACTTTCTTGAAAAAAATATAAAAAAAAAACATGCGTCACTCCCTCGACCCCTTTTTTACTTATTTTTTGGTCAAATCTATAAAGATATTTCTGTTTTTGCCCATCTTTACTTTCCCTTCTTCCTATCTGAAATATTCATCATATCATCCTTGTCTTTTCATTAGAATTTTTTCAAATATTTTACCAATTTTTTAGGTATAGACGTGATCCTTAAAATATATCTTGAATAAGGGTTGACTGAAGTCATACTCCCTAAAATGTCCCGAGTAGATATACATATCCTTTTAGAGTGACATATATTTTAGCAATAGGAGGCCTGTGGAGCAAAAATACTTAATTGAAGAAAATACTAATTATTTAGAATTTTGTATCAAAATTGATTTAAAAATCGATGAAAATTTGTAAAAAATACGAGAGAAAATGCAATAAATACGGAATGTAGAAGAAGAAGATACAGATCATGAAGCTTAAGAGGCAAACTGATATTCATCGTCAGTCTCGTTCCAGCAGTCGAGTCCCTTCTTCTTCAGCAAAGAAGGACGACGATCGCAGCAGGAGCTGACCCTGCAATCCTGGCATCGGCCATGTTGGCTTCGCGGTGCAAATTTCCCGGCATTTCCACGCCGTTGTCTGTCGGGACTTTCGTCAAACACCTGGCGGTCCCCATATCAACGAGGCTGCACTGTGCTCTGGTCGATGCAGAAGGCGGAGCCAAGGGCAGAGCCGTTCGCTGTCCGAAGTTCCGGGCCCTGACGAATGATCAGAAGGAGCAGATACGCCTCTACGTCGACGCTCTCCTTGAGTGGAACCAGGTTGCATGTCTCTTCTTTGCCTCCTCTGTACAAACACGCACCGACAAAACAAGAAGAGGTGTGTTTTCTGTTTAGAGTTTTGTCGCTTTGAAGCGTAGAGATTTAAGGGCGAGGGAAATTATGGCACAGAGAATGAATCTGACTGCTGTCAGAGAGGCGGATGAGGTGATGGAGAGGCACGTCGAGGACTCCCTATCGATTATCCCTCCGATACGGGACTCTTATCTTTCGCATTGCGATGCTTCTTGCGGTAAGATCAGCGTCGTCGATGTCGGGAGTGGCGCCGGGCTTCCTGGACTGGTCTTGGCAATTGCGCAGCCCGGTAAGTACCTCAGTTCATCAGTTGTATTGTTATGGCCGACTTTTGTGGAAGTCATGGTCGCTTGGTAGGTTGGATTTGATACATGGTCATCATGTTCGATGTGGTTTTTGTTCACTTTTGGGGTTGGTGGGACGCTTTGATTCTTGTTATAACTGCACTGAAGATTGGCAGGTGACTCTTGTTGAGTCTATGAGAAAACGTTGTGTTTTCTTGGAGCATGCGGTCAATCTAGCCGGGGTGTCCAATGCTGAGGTCGTGAATGGAAGAGCCGAGGTACGAGTTCCGTTGCTTTTCTACGATTAAGGATTTATTCGTAAGAATCGAGACTGTTCCATTGTTTTATGTTGGAAGTTTGGAGCATTCTGGTAACACTGTACATATCAGGGCTGTGGTGCATCTTCTGAAAATCTGTTCTTGGGCAGGATATTGGTAATGATTTGCACTTCAGAGAACATTTTGATGTTGCTGTTGCGAGAGCTGTAGCCGAGATGAGAGTCTTAGGTGATGATTGGATGTTTATTAGAATCAAATTCCATTCTCTTGGTTTGCTAGTGCTTATACTTGTCGCATTTCCAGCTGAATATTGTCTTCCACTTGTTCGTGTTGGTGGCTTGTTTGTGGCTGCGAAGGGTCACAATCCGGAGGTGTGTATCTATTTTTCCTCTTTCATCCATATTTTTGGTGCTTCAATTGGCCGAAAACTTTAACTTGGTCTATTACTCTTGTCTCAAGGACACCTAAGTTCTGGAATGATGCACAGGAGTAAATTCCAGCTAGTGTGAGATTGTCTGTAAAATTACCTTTTTTCTTAGGTATGAGGCGAGGGTTGCATTAACCTTTCTTCATTGGCAATTTGAGCAGGATGAAGTTAAAAATGCTGAAACGGCAATCCGGTCGATGGGTGCTTCCCTTTTGCAAGTCTGTCCCGGTAAATATTCTGTTTCCCTAGCCTAGCCGATGGAAATATTCCCGGAGTTTGTATCTCCGCATAAGAATCGTTTGCTAGTGCCTGTAGTGGTTGTTAATCAGGCAGGCAGGCAGGCTTGTTTTATCTGATTGATTTAGTGGTAATACAACTTCTTACTGAAAACTGTAGTGTCGATAATTTAGAAAGAAAGGGAGATTTCGTGGACAGTGATATGCTGTCATAGTAAGGAATAACAGTATTAGGTCCACTAGTCTCATGTCCAGGACTAATTGACCGGGCGCAGCTGAAAGTGGATGTGAATATTCGTGGGAGATGTGAAGCCAAGTTCACTGCATCTAAGACACTCAGATTGAACAAACTAAATTAGTTGTCTCCATGTTGTCAGCATTCTCCTCTGGCTATGGGAGGATGATTTTTGTGCCATTGTTCTTCTGCTGATCGAGATTGAAGTTTGGAGGATCCATTCCACTTCATGCTCGATATGCGAGTTAATCTTGCTTGTTTCACAAGTTAAATTGATGTATTCATTTTGATTGTATCCAGTTGAATCCCATGGTCCATACGGGCAGCGAACTGCCATCATCTGTTTGAAGGGTCACCCCACACCCAGAAAGTATCCCCGCCATGCAGGCACACCAGCGAAAGACCCACTGTAAATATTCAGGTGGCCATCTGCCGATCATCGCAGGTTATATAATGTAATTCCCTGCGAAACTGTTGTACAATATAACTCGTTTGTGCGAAAGTGTGATTCTTTGTCAATTTCATTCGCCGCCACTACCAGTAGTAGCTTATCAATGAATTGATTGTTGTAATGTTAGGCCATTACTTAGCATGGAGGGAGCATTTATACCTGCCACATGCAACATCTGGTGTAAGATTTTTGAGTAGTTCAAATTACAGTGTACACATCTTCAAGGCTTATAATACTGCCTGTCTATGGAGACGAGCTTTGTGACCTTTGTCTTTGTGCATCTATATGTGACTCAGACTTTGTACCTATGGACCATTTTGCCAGCTTTGCCGGCAATTCATACCCAATGCAAGGATATTCGTTAGGATAGACCGTTGATTCCATTTTGAATATCAATATGGTGCAATATCAATATGGTGCACTTTCGACGTTCGATCGATGCGAATAACGAATGCATTCCAGTTCATGACCATCTCGTCAAGATAGCGACAGAGCTTAACATTCACTGGAAACTCATAAAACAGTATTTGAAACCATTATTTCCGTGTAATGACACAACTCACCACACGAGGTGTTTCCCCAGCTAACATTGGTCGACTGGGCAAACGAACGGTTCGGATCAAGCAAATCCAGTGCTCGAATCACAACGTCGCCTGCTCATTTCAAAGGGATACGCCCTCTGCACAGTTTGGGTGCGTCCGTAAGGATTAACCAAACTAAATGCAATTGATAACACTATCGGCTGACGCAATTAGCACGGATCAGTATCGAGCTCGTGTTGGATGTACTAGAGGTGTAGCCATTGTGAATCGATTCAAATCTTCCGCTTAGCGTAGTCCAACCCGATCGACAATTGCTTCAGGGCCTTATAAACGAAAAAAGAATGATCCTAAACAAGACTTTAAAATGCTTCATCCTAAGGTTAGCACGGACGTTAGAGTCCTTAGCATGTGAAGCAATTAGAAAGTATTCCATTTCTCCCGGGAAGATAAAGATAGGGAGGGAATTAGAAAGTGCGAAGCGTGTATGTACTCGCATGTTATGTTAATAAAAGGACGCGGCCGGTGAAGTTACACCTTAACCAATAGCAAGCAACGAAAAAAAGGGAAATTTATGCAGAAGAAACCAAAAATAGATAAATAAATAAAAAACGTTTTAACATAATAACAATAACAGCAACAAAAAGACCAGAAAAATCCAAAAGAAACCGCCACGTCATCCTCGTTGACGCCTCCTCAGCAAAGCGCAAGCTGCAGTCTTCTTCTGCACTACTCTCTCTCTCTCTCCGGCCGGCCATGAAGTTTTGTCTCGTTCTTGATCGGAGAATCTGAACTCCAACCGTTCGACAATGCCTAAGCTCTCTCTATATACCACGCCATCTCTCTCCCACTCCCGCGCTCCCCCGTCCCTCGCCTCCTCCTCCTCCTCCTCCTCTCCGTTCCGCCGCCGCCATGGCTCGGCCTCCGTTTCCCGCCGTCTCCCTCGCCCTCCTCCTCGTCCTCGGCATCGCCGCCGCCCCCGCTCGGTGCTCCACCGCCGGAGTCGGATACATGTCGCGGCTCCTCGAGATTCAGGACCGCGAGCGCGCCCCGGCCGCGGTCCAGCTGGCCGCGGCCCGCGGCGTGCTCCGGCGGTTGCTGCCTGCGCTCTACTCGAGCTTCGAGTTCCGGATCATTTCTAAGGTTACTCAGTTCACGAGGATTAGCGTTATTGCTTGGGATTGCAAGCCTTGTAACAAGTTTTTTGAGGAAATGATTTTGCGCGACATGAGATGATCGGACTGAGTCAGTGTATTAGCGCGCGATCACTCTCGTTTTGAGAGTAAAGTTCTGCGTCCGGTAATCGGGTGCATGTCTTTCATGAACCTGCCATAAGAAACTTGCATGAAAGTGCTGTAATCAGAACCGCTGTATGTTATTTGATCGAAGTTTATAGACGTTTACTGGTTGACTTTTTGATTGATCTGCAGTGGAGAAAGGTTTTCTCTATTTTCATTTGGAAGGTTAGATAGTTCACTGATGTTTGGTTCTTTCAGGATGAATGCGGTGGTGAGATTTGCTTTGTGATTACAAATCATCCTTCGTTCAGCAGACGAGGCACTCCCGAGATATTGTATGCCAACATCCCTTACTCAGATGTTGTTTTTCCTGTTAAAGTATTAAATACCATGTTAGTCAGTTCACTGGTAGTTTCTGTGGTGTCACACTCTCGGTGAATGCCATAAACACTTTGCTAGCACTCAAAAGGGTAGGTACAGCTTGAATTTTTACGTCATAATCGCGGAGTGACTCGCTCCCAAATCCTCAAAGCCCTCATCTTATCCTCATCGAAATCAATGTTTCATAGATCTCCGTCCATTCCTCGTCTTCATCTTGCTCTGGCAGTTGAGCACGCATCAGCATTTGGGGTTACATGAAATATGCTGGACATCCTCGTGGAGGATTATGAGTGAGAACTTGTCGAGGAAAGCGCTAGAAGGACAAATAGCTCCTCTGTTATTTCGAGTGTTGCCTATTCTGTTTTTTCAGCCTTTTCTTTCTCTTTCTATAGTTGATAACGGTTTTAATTTTTAAATAGGATTTCTGGAGTAACTGGGGTGGAGGTCTTGGCCGGTTTACACTGGTACTTGAAGTACTGGCGTGGTTCACACATTTCTTGGGATAAAACTGGTGGTCTGCAAATGCATTCAATACCAAAATTTGGTTCTCTTCCCCGTGTTCAGGATGCTGGCATTGTTGTTCAGAGACCCAATCCTTGGAGTTACTATCAAAATGCTGTTACATCAAGCTGTAAGATTTTACTGAGACTATTAACCTATACTTTTTAGGCAGTCATCCTATGGCAATTTTATGAGCTACTGATGCAACATGAAAATGATGATAAGGTTGTATTTTTTGATTTGGTACTAGCCTAACTAAATCTAATGTTATTTGGGAAGATTCTTTTTCTTGGTGGGATTGGAGAAGATGGGAGAAGGAAATTGATTGGATGGCTCTCCAAGGTATCAACTTGCCGCTAGCATTCACTGGGCAGGAGGCTATTTGGCAAAAAGTTTTTCAGGTACTGTTTTTGCACTTAGATAAAATTATATGGACAAACTAACATTCGTTCTAGGCAAATTTTGGTTTGTTCACTGTTCGAAAGAATTTGCTTTTCTCGGCTTTTTACTTAATTCTGATGGATGAAGATGCAAGCGGCTGCTTGGCACATCAGCATGAAGCTTTGGCTCTCAGTCATATCTTTCTTCTCCCCCAGGGAGTTAAGTTAGCATAGAAGGAAGGGGATACCATAAATCAACTCTACACAGTTAATATAGGATGTATGCTGTTGTTGCCCCTGTTCATATTTGTGATTCCCCTCACTAGTGCTTTGAGAAAGAATAATTCAAAAGCTATTTTTAACCCCTTGTAAAAATATTTTAATACTATAAAGTCACCGCAGCTTTTTCTTGGATTTGTTACTTTGACTCTGGATCTTGTTGCTTAATTTGTTGAGTCATCTGCTGTTGATTTAATTCACACAATGAACATTAGGATTACATAGTATTTCTCTGATAATTGCAATTTAACATGTTTGATCATGTCTGATTTAGTATTTTCCTCCACATTTATTCAGCAGAAGTTTAACATAAGCACGTCAGATTTGGATGATTTCTTTGGAGGTCCTGCATTTCTTGCCTGGTCTCGCATGGGAAATTTGCACGGGTTAGCTACATTTTCTCATTTGCTGATCTTACTGCTGGTTCTCTCATCAAAACGTTTTTAGTTCAGTAATTGAGTTGTTTATGTTTCGGCATTTCTCATCAGAACTTTTTTAATGATCTGCACGCTCTTCATGACAGTTTGTGCTTTTGACTTTGCAGTTTGTGTTTTTGTGTGTCATCTTTTCAGATAGTCCTTTGCTCCTCAAAATAATCAGGTTGAGATAGTTGAAATGGTATAAAGTTTTGTCAAATGTTCCATCAAGAATGTGTGTGTCAACTAGTATCTAGCCACCACAAGTACTCTCTTCTGCGCTTTGTTCTCATTGATTTCAGTAGTTCCTGTCATAATTAATGAGCCTTTTTCTTAGCGCAGATGGGGTGGACCACTACCACAGAGTTGGCTAGACAAACAATTACATCTGCAGAAAAAAATTCTGGGAAGAATGTATGAACTTGGGATGACACCAGGTACTAGGTCAACTGAATATTGACCTGCATTTTGAAGTTGACTTCTTCTATCACTAGGACGCTTCTCATCAATGTGGATTGATTTGATAGATGTTATTTTGGCCCAATTTAATCTTATTTGACCTGCAAAAAAGAAAAAATCCGTCTCATCTGATGTCAGTTGATTGTCATTGCTCATGATCTCACAATTAGATTGAACTCATTTAGAATCATGTAGGCACTTACGGACTTGGGATGTCTGAACATAACATTTGATAATTTTCAACTTTACCCCTGAGTAATTGTAATATAAACGGTAATCATGCAGGACCGGTTTTAGTAAGAAACTTGCTTTTACCAATACACAACTATAACATAGTTTGGAGTCTTTAGAAACATCCCTCTTGGTCTAGGTGAACAATAATTCAACCCTTTATCTCTCTTGCAGTCCTTCCAGCCTTTTCTGGAAATGTTCCAGCAGCACTAAAAGATATATTCCCTTCAGCAAAGATCACTCGCCTAGGGAACTGGTGAGCACCTCCTTTGGCAACTTGATCCAGAACTTTCTCCTGATGTCCCTGTTAATTCCTGTATGTAAGAAGATGTCAATAATGTGTGCAGCTTGTATATCGAGTGATTATCTATGACTGTCTCAAGAGGAATGTTTCTGGCTATCCAGTGTCCACGAAACCATGACCATGACCCAGTAATCAAAATAGCACATGCCCAAGCGTATATTATCTTGTATATTTAAGTTGCACATTGTTTTACCATGGGCATTAGGATCTCGTTTTAGTTTTCTTACTGCATCTGTTCAACATGTTTTAGGTTTTCTGTTGAGAGTAATCCAAGATGGTGCTGCACTTATCTTCTTGACGCAACTGACCCCCTCTTCGTTGAAATTGGACGGGCATTCATTGAGCAACAACTGAGAGGTTTGCATAATCCATTTTATCCT